CATGGAGAAGGGGAACATTTGTTTTACGTGAGTAAAAAAAATGCCATGTATGCTTCAAAGAACCGGCAGTGAGGCCTAATTCTACTACTTGTTTTGTAATTTAGGCTGAATGTTGCCCCATGAAATCCGAAAAACCAGGAGTGAAGCTTAACTCTAGCACTTTTTCGGAAATTTGGGCCATAAGATACTACATGACAGCCGCACTACCTGCAGGGAAGACTATAGCGCTTGTTGGGAGACTTATTAATTAATTAATAAATTATTTAAATAATAAATAAATAAATTACTGATTATATATTAATTGATTGATTAGTTAATTAATTAATTATTCACTCAATCAATCAATCTTTATTCGCGTCTTAAAAGAGTTCAAATGTTAATTCCACATAAGCCAACAATGACTTGTGCGTGGGACGCGACAGATGCCTTTGCATTTTTATTTGAGAATTATAAAACTTGCACAAGAACGCGCCATCGCAAAATAAGTGGAGTTTCTATTTCAAGAAAATAATATGGTTACCGTCTATGACACTAATTCATTAAGCAGCAGTAATAAGATATGATGAATTTTGGCATTACTTACGTCATGTCGTTAACTACAACTATTATATAGAAGCAAACCAATTTTCTAGGTTTTATTTTTACTCTGTTCTAGTATCCACGTTTTTATAGCATTTATATTCTTTGGAATTTTATTTTGTGTAACTTTTTAGGTAATTAATTAAAAATCTTGGGTACATAATAATTTATTGTGGCCTCTCCATATTTGGTATAAATTAATGGTTCAAGAAATTTTCCATTCGATCTTAACGTTCTTCCTTTGGCATTTGCCAGTTTATGTGTGTTGTTGAATAAATGATGTGTTATAATATCATGCTTCATCTTGTCTCTAAAACGCGTCACGCTTAGGTTTTCATGGTACCCGGGCTCTGGTACCTTAAATTCCCAAACAAAATCCAAATATTACCTCAAAGACCTGTGCTACCTGGGTGACTATGCTTTATCCCATGCACTGCTCTCAAATCCACGGTCGTTACAAAGAGGAAAGCCTCTTTTTTACGAATGCTGAGTGATGAGCTAGTCTCTTGGGTGGAAAAAAGTGACGTCGGGGGGGACTTTTTCGTGGTTTGCGAGGACAGTCGCCATATGATACGCATGACGCGTAGTAGGGGTGGATATGAATTGTGAAATAATGTGAACTCTTAATAGAAGCTTGGGCGTGTTAGTAAGGCATGATTATTTGAAACGTACAGCGAAAAAGACGGGACGGAAGAAAGGAGGCAAAGAACCGCTGAACTTAAAACTGAAGTTTTAATCGTCAAGGCGCAGCTATCCTTGACCAGGGAGATTATAGAGGCAGATAGCGCGCTTGGAAGAAGGGTGTGTCAGCACCCCGCCACTTCTGTTGTCGGCTGAAGAATTTGATTTTCTTTTTCCATGACGACAGCATGTGCGATGATTCTGTGGGTTTCCGTGGGGTGTTATTGGCTTTGTGTGTTTCCTTTGTTTGGTCGTGTATAGACCTTTTCAGCGGCAGTCTCGAACGAAGCGAGCGGGCGAAAAATGCTGAGTCACTGAGCTGTGGACGCATGCGCAGCGTCCGATATGCCGCACAGCAGATCAACAGTGCATGCTTGGAAGGCGTTCCACAGCCCAGCAGACAAAGATGGCAGCGCGCAGGGGGCGATTTCTGCAAAGGTTTCTGCGCCTTGACGATTAAAACTTCAGTTGCAAGTTCAGCGGTCGTTTGTCTCCTTCCTTCTGTCCCCGTCTTTTTCGCTGTACGTTTTAAATAATCGTGAACTCTTAATTTTTCATTACTTTTTTTTTACGTGATAATTACCATTTTCTACATTCGCACCAAACAAGTTGTTAAATACCGCACAATTTTTTAATAATAAATAGAATTAAAACAAAAACACTCGCCCATTAGCCTGATAAATAGGGTTCCGTGTTTTCAGGGTCTATTTTTTTTTAATTCTGTTTTTTTTAGGGCATATCCTCCTCCAATGACTTGGTGTTTTTTGGCATCAATTCTCAGTGTCGGACCGAAAATCGGGTTTTATCAGGGTTCTTGTTGAATAAATTGGTCACGAGTAGGTTATTCCCCAATCTTCAGAAAACATATTTGTGACCTAGGTTCATGGAAAACATACCCTCAACAATAAGGCAAGGAATCAGGGAAAAGGGTTCCGAAAAGAGAACGAGCCCAGATTCATTTGGGGTTCTTTTCTGGGTTAGCACAAAATAGAGCTGTATATAAATGGTATCTTCCCGTGAAGCTTTGGTTTTGCTTATTCAAAGACAGCTCCCCCAATGGACCTTTTTCGAGTAAGGAGCGCCGTCTGGGGAGTTGTCTGCCAACTACAAACGAAGAGCAGCCCAACATGCCTCCGCCCGTGAAAACACGTCGGCATCGTGCCCTTGTATCTGTTTTCAGTGCTTTTTATATCCCATACTACCTGATTCTAAAAACAAGGAGTCAAATTAGACTAAATACGCGCGAAGATAATGTTCCGGTCGCCATCCTCGCAGGGCACCGCGTCCCGGTGTCCTGCGAAAATGGCGACAGCGGGAGTGTACGCATGCACAGAAGCTTACTGGAAAAAAGGTCCATTTAAGGTTCTTTGGTTTTCTCCGATCTTCGTAAAGTCAGCTCTAGGGTTAATTCTTGGGGTTTATTGGTATTTACCGAAAACAAGAAATTCTACTTATAAATTGCGCGCAAAAAGCGCGCCTTAAGTCCTGCCCACGATGACACGTAAGAGAGTGACGTAGACATTCAAGCATGCCGCCACTCTTTCGGCGGTGCGTCCTTGGTGGATTCGTCAACGGCCAACGTCGGCGACCAGTAACCCTTCCCCCCCCTCCCCCCCCCCCGCCGCCCCCTCTAACCCCATTGTTTTGGGGGGATGGCTGCTATGGTGAGTGAAGAGGAACACGCACGCTTCGAAGCACAGCCTCTAGATGGCGTTTCATCGTACTCTACGAAGCACAGTTTTGAAACGAAAATTTAGATGGCGCTTCAAAGGACGGGAGGCGGACTGAAGGGACTGAGAGGGGAGGAGGGAGGTACCCCCTCCGCCGAGATCTCCGCAAATGAGGTAATCGATACTTTGTTTAATCTTAAGCCTAGTCGCAGCCGACGCTGCCAGCTGATGGAACCAAACAGACAGCGTCAATAACGCACCAGTATGATGTTCGTTATGTTTCTGTGCGTGTTCTATGATCGCTGAACCAATCATAAACAAGAAAGGCCCAGTGACTTGAGCTTTTGACGCTGCTTGATGGTCCCATGAACTCTTAGTGTCGGCTGCGTCTGCACTTAAGCTAAAACAAAATATAGTAACGTCGACGACAAACTGCAGAGATTGTGACGACGTGACTGATACGACTACGTCACTCCTCTGAGCGTCATTGTGGGCGGGACTTCGGGTGCTCTTTCTGAGCTCAATATTAAAACAAGCGAAAAGACGCAAACTTTATTGATGAATATATAAAAAATATATAAATCTTGAAAGTTTTTTTTATTCATTTGACTTGTAACAGTAATTGCCGTAAATGTAACAATAGCAAGATATTAAACGAATAAATAATACATTATGAACATATTTTAGTAAATAGGCTTAGTGAATTGAATTTGAGGTAGCCAACAAGCTGGTGAATATTACGCAGGACAAAAACTCCGTGACTGCGAGTAAAAGTGACTCATACACTAACACATTCACACACATATGCCGCAAATACCTCTTAGTGTAAGTGTGTCGTTTTCACCCGCAGTCTCGGGGTTTCGTAAGGCTTAAAAAGGCCATACTGACCACGACTAATATCTTCTCATCATATAATGGTACGTTGCGCCTAGGCGGATGCTGACACACACTGGTAAACCACTGTGGCTCGGACTGATCGAAATCCGCAGTGCCGTTTTATGCTCGATTCCAGCATTACATAGTAGCCTCTTGCGGGCACGCTCGCACCCCATTGCTGAGAGAAAGACCTCTACTGAAGATTTATTTTGAACTCACTAATTCTCAAATATAAGCACGCATTCTTATTAAATTAGTACTTTTTTTCCCCGTAAATTTTGGCGTGATTGACAAGGCAGGATTGAGAACCCACCATCGCCTGCCAAATGATTTCAAACGTTTATGACCTAAATATGACGAATTTAACGCAGGATAGACCCTTTTCGAAACCCCATCAAGCAACATTGGAGGTTTCTCTCTTTCGAAAGCACGATGCGTGAGATTAGATCCGAGACTTCGCCGAATGCTAAGGCGACCTTCGTGTCCAAGGCGCCGAGAAACTGAGGGAAAGGAGAAGACGAGAGCACGCGGTGACGTCAAAACAGCAAGCTCTGATTGGAACGATTAGTGGGTGGACCTAAAGCTAGCTTCCTTTGTTTCCCCTACACTCGTGGAACTCGTTTGAAGTCAGAACGCCGGCGTCCAGCTTTCGAACTCAAACGCGTTCGACCAGTCCACTGGAGACAAAGACAGCTAGCTTTAGCTCTACCCACTAATCATTAGAATTAAAAATTCGGCGTTCTGACGTCCCTTCTTGACTCCTCCTCTCCCTCAGTTTCTGCCGCATACATGTTTAGAGTTTACGTTCACTAACAATGGCGTACCAGGATAATTGCGCAGCCGCTACTAGATGGCGCGCACTTTTGAAAAGTGTCTCTTGATATTTGCTCTTCGCTCTGGTTTACGGTACATGCTGAAATAGAAGATGTGCGTTCGAACGCGTTCGATCACTCGTGCATGTGGTTACAAACACTCGTGGAGCGCAGCTGCAAAGAATCACAAAACAACGCGCTTTGGCCTATTGCCATACGAAGGTGCCTGCTTTCGACAGCTGCGCGCGCATCGTCGTGCTGCTTTGTACTTTTTACGTCACAGAACTATTCGAAGTCTTTGATCATACTTAGTAAAGATATTTTTGAAGGGAAACCTAGAGCGTGCAGGGATTTTAAGGTAAGTGTTGGTGCTGCGGCGCAGGGATCTACTTTTTCGGCCGTGCCACCCCGTGTCCGCATCAGCGCGGTGCTGCCGGAGTTTCCCTGCGTGAGGGACATGGTGCTGCCCAAGGAGGCCGACGCCGACAAGGTGAGCGGACCGCCGTCTCACGCTACTCCCCTGGTGGGTGATTCTTAAGCAGCGGTCAGACTGCATACACATCCTACAAAAGAAACGTTTGAAGACGGTGTCTGGAAATTGTTTCTTTCTTGTATGAGGGTCCTGTCTGGTTGGTCATAAGAAATAGGCTCGTTCGATTTACCAGTACGCCGGAGCAGAGGAGTATAAAGCGGTATACTTTAGGTCGTATTTCAATACACATACCGGAAGTAAATTTCCTTACATGTTTCTGCACCGGTGCAGGAGCTGCAAGTGAATTGAACGAGCCAAGTGTCCGCAGACGAGAGCGGCACGTACAAGCGTACAAATCAAACGGGCTTCGAACACGTCTGAAGCGGAAATAAAATAGTTGACTATACTCCGCGACAACTTCTCTTGGCAGTGCAGTAGAAGGTACGTCCCGCGTCCCCTCTCCCATTTTCAGAGTACGCAGGCTCTCTCCTCCTCCCCCATTTCCGGGGAGAGGAGGAGAGCCTTCGTACACTCAAGATGGGAGAGGAGACGCGGGACGTACCTTCCAATGCATTGCCAAGAGAAGTTGTCGCGGAGTAGGAGAATACATTTTACACTCCGCTCATTTGCATGAAACAGTAGCGCGCCTAGAGCACTAAATACTCCCCAGCGCTATAGATTGCCAGCGTTCGAGAAAATGCACCTGCATCGCTCCGTCCACGTTCTCGCGCTTTCGTGCTGCCTCCAGAGAGAGAAGGCCCACCAACCGAGATCCCGGATTTGCCAAGACAGCATAGACGGCTGCCTCCGCTGTCTTGAGGGCGGTCCACGACGAGAGGGGGCGGCAGCCACCCGTCCAAATTCAAAGATATAAATCACCGAGTCTGCACGCGGGCCTAGCTGTTCCAACTACGCAAAACACGTCGGCTTCAAGACCTTGAGATTTTCGCGCAGTAAAATGAATTCCCTCATGAAGTATTTGCCATTTCAAGCTGCTCAATCGGGGTCTCGTAGTGTATGGCGTCACGCTTGAAATATTAACTGCAAGGACCTTACAAACGCGGGTATCATCGGCTAGTGTTTGTCGCCACGCGAGAAGGAAAGGATTTGGACCGTCTAAAGTAGGCTAGAGGCATTAGTGTACACGCTGTAGTTGGATCCAACTTTTTGCTGCTAGAGCCCACCCCAAAGCCTCGTTTAAAATTGCGGGAAACTCTCTTGCCCCCAACCGAATTCATTCGGCGGAAAAAAGACCGCGCCGTTCACGTTTGTAGCCGCCCGCCGCGCGATGCAGAAAATACAGCTCCTGGGCCCGTTTGCCCGAAGCTCTAAATGCGGCTAAAGTTAGCCACAGCGCCTAGGAGAGGGATTTTGAAATCACGTGACTGGCTCGGTAGGGATGCGGGGAAACATGGCGGTGCCCCGGTGAGTGAGCGCCGTTCGCTTTGGAACTAATACGTCGTCGTAGCTGCAATATCGGGCGCGTTTGTCAGCAACGAATGGTGCAGGAGGTTTTCGTTTTGCCTTGCCTCACTTAAATCGCAAAGCATGAGCAATGACTTCGCCGCCTTTTTAAAATAATCTTTTGATTTTGGCTATTCCCAAGACTAAATGAACGCGATAATTGTCGGCATGGCAATGTCTTTGGAAAGCGGATTACCTTGACTCAGTCGGCCGGGTATTGATAGCACACAAAAGCAGACAGCGCTCCAATAGACCTTTTTCTAAATTACCAAAGCATCGAGGAGAACACTGGGAGTGTAATTCTACGGTTCGCGCGCGCTAGTTTTCCTCTTATAAACGATTCGAAGTAAATAATCATAATAAGGCTTTGACGAACGCGCGTGCAAGGCAAAATTTGTTTCAGACGTTTTGCTTTAGAACAGTTACTACTGCAGACGCCAGCACGTGCAACGGGCGTAACTACACTTGTAGCATGCATCTCGGCGCTTGGGAAATTTAGAAAAAAGTCTATTGGGACGCTGTCTGCTTTTGTGTGCTATCAATACTCGGCCGATTGAGTCAAGGCAATCCACTTTCCAAAGACGTTGCCATGCCAACAGTTATCACGTTCATTTAGGCTTAGGAATGGCCAGAGTCGAAAGTCTATCTAAAAAATGCGGCAAGGTCATGACTCATGCTTTGCGATTTAAATGAGGTAACGCAAAGCGAAAGCCTCCTGCATTATCCGTTGCTGACTAACGCTCCCGATATTGAAGCTACAACGACATATTAGTTCGAAACCGAGTGGCGCTCACTCACCATGGCACCGCCATGTTTCCCCGCATCCCTACCGAGCAAGTCCACGTGATTCAAAAATCCCTCTCCTAGGTACTGCGGCTAACTTTAGCCGCGGTTAGCGCTTCGAGCAAACGGGCCCTGGTTCGCGCCCTGTTGGAAAAATTTATCTCGTAGGCTTCCTCTCGCAACCTAAACATCGCTGCTACGCCACGTAAAACAGCTAACGGCCCACGGTGGAAAAAAAATGTCGAATAGTTTCTCGGCTATACGAGAACGAAATTATAAAACATCGAACAGACGGAGGCAACGTGCATATATATACGTACCGCTCACGCTAATTTTATTTCACAGACATGATCTTTGTGGGCATTGTTTTTGTTTCCCAGATTCTTCTTGTTCAAGATCGTTGAATATTTATTTTTGTCTCAATTTGCTGGCACCAATTTGTTGCTGCGAAATTGGTGCCAGCAAGACGGTGCAATTTAAACAACTTGAGAGCACCGACAACTCCGGCGACTCGGCCAGGACGTAACGTCCACAAACGCCGGCTTTTATTCGCGTTCTGAGTAGATACGGCAGCACCAAATCATTTTCCGCTTGTGAAAAATCGGTCCCGGACGGATTGCTCTCGCGGCCGACAATTCCGCCAGATTTCACGTGGATTCACCCGCGGATTCGCAAGTGTAATCGCGTCATAATAGACGGCTCCAGGTTAAGAGTGTAATGTCGTCTCGAGAATTAGACAAAAGAAACGTTTACCTTTTGGTGCAATTTTGATCGTGTTTCAATTTTCAGATGGACACCTTCTTGACCATGTACCGAACCCACTGCCAGCGAGTCTTAGACACCGTCCTAAGAGCAAGTTTGGAAGAGGTAAATATATTTCGTCAATTTAAAACGCTCGTTTGTTTCATTGTTTACACTCTCACAAGAAGGTGGCCGGAGTTGTCCTTTCAAAGGATGAGAAACTAGAAAGGCATATCAAATTCCTGAAACGATATCGGTACGATACCGGTACGGTCCGGGTGTGGGGTCTTTGCTGCTTTTTATGCGCGCCACTCGCGTAGGCGCACGGGGCGACCGGCAATTCGCTTCCAGCGTTGCTCGTAACTAGAAGACAACCCCTATGGTCGCTGACAAAGTGAGAACGACAGGGCGTTTCTTTCGAACGTTTATCCTCCAGCATGCGCGCGCTGCCTTCATCCGTGCTTTGACTTCACGAGCATGCTCGAGGCTCACAAGACGCCGACGCGTCATCGAAGGTAGGAAGTAGGCGGGACAACTGAGACTCCCTCCTGCCCTTCTCATTCCGTTACTGACTATAGTGTTACAAACAGCAGAACCGTGTTTGTCTTAGCATGCGTAATGAAATAATGGCAAACACTAATAAATAATGAACCATGCCACGTGCTTTAAAATACCGATAAAAAGACACGCCTCCGCGTGTACTTTTTGACAATCAGCGTCTCGGTCGGTATATTTCCATGGCGTGTTGCCTTTTTGCCCGTGAAAGCAATGTTCTAGGTAACTAGGTCATGTTGTTAGTCATCTTGCCGCGTATGCCGTGGGCACGAAAAAGGCAATAGCGAGTTTTAGGAAACCATTTTTGGACGCGCGATACGGTACGATGGGCCCTCCGGTACGAACTGCGCATATGCGAGACTTCTATGTTTGCGCATGCGCAGTTCGTACCGGAGGGCCATTGATACTGTATCGGATGCGCAAAAACGGTTCCCTAAAACTCCCTATTAGGGAGTTTTAGGGAACCGTTTTCGGACATCCTGATACGGAACGATGGGCCCTCCGTACGAATTGCGGGTATGCGAGTCTGGTGCGGTAGCGCATGCGCAGTTCGTACCGGAGGGCCCATCGTACCGTATCGGAGGTGCAAAGGCGGTTCCCTAAAACTCCATAATAGAGAGTTTTAAGGCTCTGTTATACTCCGACGTAACGCGTGCGCGCGTGCGAGCGCGTCACGTCGGCGAAAACCCCACGTTCTATACTCCGGCGTCGTGTCGTAACCGGCGCGACCGGCGGCGTTCGACGCAGCCTGACCGCCTCAACGCCAAAATGAAGCATGCCGTATTCCGCGCCGGCCGCGCCGGATCAGGATACATCACGCGCTGGCTCCCGTAGCCCTCGCGGCGAATACGAGCAATAGCAGGCGACGGGAGCACCACTCCGTGTGGCGTCATGTTTGAAGAATCGGACGTCTCGGGTCGTCGAGAAGCTGATCGAGGGAATTCGTTCTCACCCGATTGTCTACGACTCGAGGAAGCTTGAGTACCGTAGACAGTGCGCTTGTCAAAGATGTACCGCATGTACATTGACCGCCTACGCTTGCGGCGGAGGCGGTGCGCCAACAGTGCAAGCCCGAGTTTTCGTCGTGCAAGGTACGTGCACGCCATCACTCGAACTCGGCGCTCAAGAAGCGCGAGAATTCTCGTCTGCTATTCGAAACGAAAAGGAACCGGAAATGGCGCACTCTCGCAGGAAACGCGCCCTCGTAGCCAGATTCTGCGCATGCGCCGCGCTGGCGGCCCACCGACGCGCGCCGCGGAAGTCGCCAGGGCCGCCGGAGTCTAGAGAGGGCGAATTTTTGACAAGCGCGGCGTGACTGACGTGACGTAGCCGACTTCGGCCAGCGGTCGCCTGCGCGCGTGTTACGTCGGAGTATAACAGAGCCTTTAGGGAACCGGAACAAAATACGATCGATAAACAAAAACGATCAATACCTTGGATCGCGTGTATGGACCGATTGTGCGCCTTGAAACGGCTTTGGGGGAACCGTATTTGCAGACGATAGCAGACGATCGGTACAGGTCGCGCCCCCTGGCAACGGAATCCTGCATCCGCCTCATCGAGAAAAGACAAATTTGCGTGTGTTTGTACAAATCGCAGAAACTGAAGTAAATAAAGATCGCACCCTAAATATATAGAGAACCGAAAGAATAGTATACCTACTTATAGTTCGTCTCGTTTTTTTACTGGAATGAATGCGCTTCCGTAATACAAAACCTGGCGCACCACGGCGTGTCGCCCCTAGCACAGCGAAGTTCTAAAATGTTCGTCTGCTAAAGAAGCAGACGAGCTTTCCGACAACAATGGCGCTCGATCTTTTTGACAATGACTTGAAGTTGGCTCTATTCAGCGAAAACAATTTAGAAAAAGTGATTTTGTACGACTGTCTGCGCACTAAGAGAAGACGCTTGTTGGCGGCAAGGCATGGGACGTTCAACTTGGCGTAGCTTTTAAGTAAGCAACAAAGCTGAAATACCAGGAATGATGTGCGGATACCACGAATGATGTGGTAGCGTATTTTGGGGTTTTTCCTTTCAGTTTACCAGATTTATATACTCAGGGAATAAAATAATGCCTCGACCGTACATGGTAACTTGTTTTCTAATAAGTCATGCGTTCTCAGCGGGCAAGTTTTGGTGTTTTACATCAACCAAATATGATCTTTACACCAACCACGTCCTGATATGCTAAAACGTTGCCGAAAGCAAACTAGATTTGGCACAAGAACACGCTCGCGCGCGCTTATCATCAACATTCGAAGTCGTCTGCTAGCGATCCTGTCTCTTTCCCTGGAGGCCCACTGCAGGATCGAGTATTAAGAAAGCTATGGACAAATAAAACTAGAAATATTAAATTGCGAAGAAAATACAAAAATAACCAAAATATACTCACTCTCTCAAGTTCATGCGGTCATTGTTCTTGTACAAAGTTACGAGGAGGTCAATCCGTTCCTTCGCTCCTCGCAACGAGAAGTTCTTTTTCGACGCTGCGTTTAAACCTTTAAGGACGTCATTCCAAAGGGCTGGAGCGAAAAAGGAGTAGCGCCTAGCACCTCCCGAAGTAGAAAGATGTTCTACTGCTGTAAACCGCTTGCGAGAAGGAGGCGGAGGGACGGAGGTAGATGCGGCGCTCATGTTGCTCTCTTGCGTTACAGATAGCAGACGTTCACGGTCGTACGCCCGCGCACCGATCGTTGCGCTGTGTACGGTACGGGCACAAAGAAAATATAAAAGAAAACCTGTAACTTTACTGCTGTGCACTTATTAAAACTATCACCGAATATTCAAAGGGCTCGTTTTATAGGATGTATATGATTAGCATTTGTACAGAAATTTTTAATTCATACAACATTTTTAAACTAAAATGTATCTAGAGCCTTGATGTAGAAGGCTGTTGCTCACTCTGTTGCCACTACAGATAATCCTCAGTCATAACAACAGCTGTAAAAAATCGGGTGAAAAGTGCTCGAAATGCACATCCAATGTTTGTATAAAAACAAAAAAAAAACTTATAATATAAAAAAAGGAAGCGGTGTATGTATGGGCCAACGGGATTCGAACTCTCCATTACCGCTCCTCTACGAGCTCAAGAAATTGGCGCTCCAATCCGCTGAGCTACGAAGTAGACGATTCTTGACTTTGCTAAACATTAATTTAATTCTATTGAAAAAGTCATATTTCGTTTTGTTCTTTATTCTTTTTCTTATTTGTTTACTCAACCTTTATGGACTTGCTGTCACATATGGCGCTCGTGCCTGGCACTGCCACGATTTATTTTCTTCATGTTTGGAGCCACGGCACGCTCTCTCGGCCAGCGAAATGGCCGTTTTGCTCACCAAGCGAGACTGTCCATGTCGGCCATTGGTCGTGCGGGTCGTGCCTTACGGTTCGACCAGCGCATTACGGTAAGATCGCAGAAGACCCGCGCATGCGCAGTTCGTACCGGAGGGTCCATCGTACCGTATCGGATGTGCAAAGACGGTTCCCTAAAACTCTCTAATATCCGCGGCTGCCAAACCGTGATTCAGTATTGTACCTGCACTAGACTGCTGTGCTCTCGCGAAAGCTATGATCGCAGTCGAAACCACGGGTGTTGAATTGTGAGAAAAACATGCATGCCGAATACTCGCAGGCTCTCATGTGTGCTCTAACTCCAGCCTGCCAAGTAGCCTTGAGAAATATTATCCTTCGATATACTAACGAGCGTGTCACGTTTGAGTAAAACGAAAATCTGGCGAAAAAAAAAAAGACAACATTGTGTAACACAGGCACAGCTGTATAACCTTTCGATTTGTAGTTCGCCCTAGCTCCTCGAGTGAGTGTTATTTCTAGAATGTTGAAATTATGTTTATACCTAAGCTTTTTTTGCTGGCTTTTTGGCATGTCACGTTATAAATTCCTGACGTGTTGAAAAAAAAATTATCGCTAAAGTACTCAATATATATATATATATATATATATATATATATAACGGGCATGGTTGCGGGAGGCCGAAGGCGTGGGTATAAAACTGAGAAGAAAAAAACCCTTAGTGAAAACAGCAACAACGAACGATTTAATCTTCGACGTTTCGGCCGGACTCCGGCCGAAACGTCGAAGATTAAATCGTCCGTTGTTGCTGTTTTCACTAAGGGTTTTTTTCTTCTCAGTTTTATATATATATATATATATATATATATATATATATATATATATATGTATATATATATATATATATATATATATATATATATATATATATATATATATATATATATATATATATATATATATATATATATATATATATATATATATATATATATATATATATATATATATATATATATACATATACACTATGGATGTCTGACACCGAGAAGTCAGCCTACGTTAAGTTACGACAGACCGTGTCATCACCCGCAAGCCATCCTTTGTAGAGGATGACTTCACCGCAATCAGAGGTTTATTGAGGAGAAGCATATTCACAAACTGAAGGGGTTCTGGGTTGGAGGGAACTTCGGATTGTACAGCCGTTGAGCGGACTTTCTTAACTCTG